CACACGCACAGGAACACACCAACACACACCAACCGCACACACACACATATATTGGATTCACCCTGCCCCCCCCCTTACATGGGAGACGCCAACTATACACTAGACGGGAAGAAAAACCGAGACATTCGAAATGTTTTTTCGCTTCGTTGTTTTAATTTCAATACGATCCTTCGATGGTGTCTAGCGTATGCCATGTGTGAGTGCGTGTTTGCGTACGTACGTGCTGACAACTTCGTGGGTTAAGAAAGCAAAAGAAGGGCGAGAAGAAAGAATGAGGAGAAGGAGAAAGAAGAAGAAGATGAGAAAGAAAAAAAAGGAGGAGGAGGACGGAGGAAGAAAAGAAGAATGAAAGAAGGATGAGAAAAATGAAGAAAAAAAGAGAGGAAGAGAAATGAAAGAAAAATATAACAAATGCATATAGATAGCCCCCAAACCAACCTCTTCCGCATAAAAAAAAACAAAAAACAAAAAGAAAGACGAAGAAAAGAAAGAAAAAGAGGAAGAAGAAAAAAAAAACTCCCATGCATTTACACCGCCACGGAAGAAAGAAGAAGAAAAAGAAGTAGAAGAAAGAAGAAGAAAGTAGAAGAAAAAGAAGAAAAAGAGAACGCACAGCCTTTCCTCGCATTTTCTCAGCGCAAAGCATCGCCAGCGGAGCGACGCAATCTGCATCGGGTCCGCCAAGCGCTTGCTTTTAGACCTGTTAGTGCGGGAACGGACTTCGTGGCCGCCGAGGTCTGTGGGGTTTTCACGTGCCTGCCTCGCCTCCTTGGGCTGCGCTCGGAACGGAAGGGAGGGAGAAAGGGAGGAAGGGAGGAGGGAGAGAAGAGGGTGGGAGGAATGGGGATGGAGGAAGGGTGGGGAGGAGAGGGGTGGGAGAAGGGAGGAAGAAGGAGGAGAGAGAGGGAGGGAGGGTTAGGAGAGGGGTGTGGGAGAAGGGAGGAAGGGAGGAGAGAGAGGGAGGGGTGGAGAAAGGATGGAGGGAGGGAGGAGGAAGAGATGGAGGGGTGGGAGGATGGGTGGGAGAAGGGAGGAGAGGGGAGGGAGGGAGGGTGGGGTAAGAAGGAGAGGGAGGGTGGGTGGGAGGAAAGGGAGAGAATCGAGGAGAGGGAGGAGAGGAGGGGGGAGAGTGGGAGGGAGGAAGAGAGAGAAGGGTGGGAGGAGAAGGGTGGGAAAAGGTGGGAAGGAAAGGGAGAAGAGTGAGGAAGGGAGGGTGGGAGGGAAGGTAGAGAGAGAGTGGGAGGAATGGGGGGGGTGGGTGGGAGGAGAGGGAAGGAGAGGGAGAGAAAAGAGAGGGTGGGAGGTTAGGAGGGCAGTGGGAGGAGACAAGGGAGAGAAAGGTATGGGACGGGGGTGGAAGAATCCTAATCGATCTATATATATGTGTATGTTGTATAGACATACATTAATATTAGATGGTTTATACATATGTGTGTGTGTGTGTGTGTGTGTGTGTGTGTGTGTGTGTGTGGTGTGTGTGTGTGTGTGTGTTGTGTGTGTGTGTGTGTGTGTGTGTGTGTGTGGTGTGTGTGTGTGTGTGTGTGTGGTGTATATATTAATATATATATTATATATATATATATATATATATATATATATATATATATTATATATATATATATATATACAGACAGACAAAACACATAGCCAGCCAAAGTGAGATATAAATGAGAGTTAACCAAAAATGATTAAGTATGCGAAAAGGGCTTAGCACTATAATAACTAATATAATGGAAAACAAAAATCATACACAGAATCATCACGGAACCATCATCAACTCAACATGCTATAAGGCCCATCAACACATACATCAGATAAGAGACTTTCGCACTTAACATTCTCACTCCAAAGCATTACACGTTCTTGTCCCTTCCTCTCATATGTTAATTTTCCTGTTCTCGCCCATCACGCCTTCTGCCATAAAAAATAAGGGTAATGTATGGTGTGTCTGCGTGAGGGAGAGAGAGAGAGAGAGAGAGAGAGAGAGAGAGAGAGAGAGAGAGAAGAGAGAGAGAGAGAGAAGAGAGAGAGAGAGAGAGAGAGAGAGAGAGAGAAGAGAGAGAGGGAGAGAAGAGAGAGAGAGGGAGAGAGAGAGAGAGAGAGAGAGAGAGAGAGAAGAGAGAGAGAGAAGGAGAGAGAAGAAGAGGAGAAGGAGAGGAAGAGGAGAGGGAGAGAGAGAGAGAGAGAGAGAAGGTGAGAGAGAGAGAGAAGAGAGAGAGAGAAAGAGAGAGGAGAGGAGAGGAGCAGGAGAGGAGAGGAGAGGAGAGGAGAGGAGAGGAAGTGTGGAGGGAGGAGAGGGAGGGGAGGAGAGGAGAGGAGAGGAGGGGAAACGGGAAGGATAATGAGGGAAGGGGGAGAAGCAGAAGAGAGAGAGAGAGAGAGAGAGAGAGAGAGAGAGGAGAGAGAGAGAGAGAGAGAGAGGAGAGAGAGAGAGAGAGAGAGAGAGAGAGAGAGAGAGAGAGAGAAGAGGAGAGAAGAGAGAGAGGGGGAGGCTATTAAGACAAAGTGCACCGTAAAAGAGACGGTATGTGGCTTTGTTCCGTTGCACTGCGCTTGTATGTATGTGTGTGATTATAAATATCAATTAAACAAAGAAAAAATAGCCAGTATAAATGTAACTAATGGTAGACGGGGCCATGCAGTTAGAGGAGAAACAAACATGTAAGGAATAGGACTGCGATAATCACACACACGCACATACACGCACACTCTCCTTACTTACAATGCAAAACATAGATTCTCTCTCTCCTCTCTCTCTCTTTCTCTCTCTCTCTCTCTCCTCTCTTCTCTCTCTCTCTCTCTCATCTCTCTCTCTCTCCTCTTCGTTTTCTTTCTCTCTCTTGTCTCTCTCTCTCTTAACTTTCTCTCTCTCTGTTAAATCGGTCGTTTTCTCATTCGCTCTACTTTTCCACCATACTTAATCTTTCCCATCATAATGTAGGTCTGTCTGCTTCTTCCGCCTAACCTTATCAACACGGTTTGTTAAAATTGCTGCGAAGGCCCGACCCAATGAATATTCATTATACGTGCATACACATGTACGCGATGTGAAGTACACTATCTTATCAATCTAGACGATGCATATCCTACCTGGACATGATAGATAAATAAATGTAAGATGTATTTAGTATACAACAGATTATGGCATCCGTTTCTATACCATATACATTGGCCGTATGTATGATATCATTGGGAGTCCGTATGTCACTTTGTTTTCCCTCTAGTATTTTCAAAATCTCTTTTAATCCAATGCCAACAGCCGTACCTTAACCGCATGTCAGCTAACCTACCTATCCTTTAAAAAAAGGATACCCCTAATCTGTCCGGCTACTTAGATTTTACGGCAGAAAATAATAGACATACGGCTCTCAACGTGTTCTAACGGTTCTTTCATTCAATTTACGACTTCAAACGGGATCCTCAACGTGTTTCAGTTTCCAAATATGGAAAGAGGCCCGCCGGTGACGGCAGCGCAAATTGGAAGCCTTCATTGTTAATTACTGGATGTCAGCGTTTCGCGTCTTTGCCCCGCTGGGACACAGGGAAAGAAAGGAGGGACAAGGACAAAGAGGGAAGGTCGAAAAGGGTATAGTAGGGGAGAGAGAGAGAAGAGAAGAGAGAGAGAGAGAGAGAGAAGAGAGAGAGAGAGAGAGAGAGAGAGAGAGAGAGAGAGAGAGAGAGAGAAGAGAGAGAGATGAAAACGAGAAAGAGTGAGAGAGAGGGGGAGGGAGCAGAGAGAGAGAGAGAGAGAGAGAAGAGAGAGAGAGAGACAGAGAGAGACGAGAGAGTAGAGAGAGAGAGAGAGAGAGAGAGGAGAGAGAAAAGAAGACAAGAGGGAGACAGAGAGAGAGAATGAGAGAGAGAGAGAGAGAAAAAGAGAGAGAGAGAGAGAGAGAGAGAGAGAGAAGAACAAACGTAGAAAGAGCAGAGAGAGGTGGAGGCGGGGAGAGTTAGAGAGAGAAGAGTAGAGGAGAGAGAAGAGAGAGAGAGAGAGTAGAGAGGAGACGAGAGAAGAGAGGAGATGAGACGGACGATGAGAGAGATTGAGAGAGACGAAAGAGGAGGGAGAGGGAGAGAAGAGAGAGGAGAGAGAGGTGGTAAGAGGGCAGAGAGACTGAAAGGAGAGAAGAGAGAGAGAGAGATGATGAGAGAGATGAGAGAGAGTAGAGAGAGAGGAGAGAGAGAGAGAGAGAGATGAGAAGTGAGAGAGGGAGGGAGGGAGGGAGAGAGAGATGAGAGAGAGAGAGAGAGAGAGAGAGA